ACTTTTTGACCTTCTTCACCCATTTCTCCCACCCTATTCCCTCCCTCCGCCACCACCCTCTGGCAGCCAACAATCTGTTCTCTGTGTCTATGAGCTTGGTTTTTATTTTTCAGTTAGTTTGTTTGTTTAGATTCTACATATAAGAGAGAACGTATGGTATTTGTCTTTGTCTGGCTTATTTCTCTTAGCATAATACCCTCTAGGTCCATCCATATAGTCGCAAATAACAAGATTCCACTTTTTCATGGCCAGTAATATTCCACTGTGTAAGTGTATGTGTATGTGTGTGTGTTATCCATTCGTCCACTGATGGACACTTAGGTTGCTTCCATATACACTTTTTTAATATTAGTCCCTTATCAGATACGATTTGCAAGTCTTTTCTCCCATTCAGTAGACTGCCTTTTCATCTTGTTGATGGTTTCTGCTACTGTGCAAAAGCTTTGTAGTTTGATGTAGACCCGCTTATTTTACTTTTGCACTTGTTCCTTTCATTTTTGGTGTCAAATTCAAAAAATTCATTGCCAAGACCTATGCAGAGGAAACATTTAAATTAAAAAAAATTAAAATTAAAAAAATTAAACAAAAAATAAACAATTAAAGTTAATAGTTAAAATTAATTAAATTAAAATTTTTTAAAGACCTTTGCAAAGGAGATTCTTGCCTGTATTTTCTTCTAGGGGTTTTCTGGTTTCCAGTCTTATGCTCAAGTCTTTAATCCATTTTGAATTAATTTTTGTGTACGGTGTAAGACAGGAGTCCAATTTCAATCTTTTGCATGTGGTTGCCCAGTTTTCCCAGCATCATTTATTAAAGAGACTGCCCTTTCCCTATTGTATATTCTTGGTTCCTCTGTTGTAAATTAATTGATCACATATGCATGTGTTTACTTCTGAGCTTTCTATTCTGTTCCGTCGATCTATGTGTCTGTTTTTATGCCAATATATACTATTTTAATTATTATAGTTTTATAATATAGTTTGAAATCAGGGAGTGTGATACTTCCAGTCTTGTTCTTCTTTCTCAAGATTGTTTCGGCTTTTTCGGGTCTTTTGTGGTTCCATACAAATTTTAGGATTATTTGTTCTATTTCTGTGAATAATGCCATTGGAATTTTGAAAGGGATTTCATAGAATCTGTAGATTGGTTTGTGTAGTATTGACATTTTAATAATATTGATTCTTCCAATCCATGAGTACAGAGTATCTTTACATTTATATGTACCATATTCACTTTCTTTCATTAATATCTTGTAGTGTTCAATATACAGATCTTTCACCTCCTTGGTTAAATTTATTCCTAGTTTTTTTATTTTTCTTGATTCAATTGTAAGTGGGATTGTTTTCTTAATTTCTCTTTCTGATAGTTCATTAGTAGTGTCTAGAAACATTATTAAATTCTTGTGTATTGATTTTGTATCCTGTAACTTCACTGAATTTGTCTATTAGTTCTAACAGTTTTTGATGGAATCTTTTGGTTTTTCTAAATATATAATATCATATCTAAGGATAGCGACAGTTTTACTTCCTCCTTTCCAACTTGGACGGCTTTTATTTCTTTTTCTTGCCTAATTTCCCTGGCTACAATTGCCAATAATATGTTGAGTATAAGAGGTAAGAATGGGCTTCTTTGTCTTTTTCCTGGTCTTAAAGGAAAGCGTTCAGCTTTTTGCCACAGAGTGTGATGTCAGTTGTGGGCTTGTCATATGTGGCCTCTATTATGTGAGGCATGTATCCTCTGTATCCACATTTGTTGAGAGTTTTTTATCATAAATGGATGTTGACTTGTCAAGTGCTTTCTCTGCATCTATCAAGATGATCATATGATTTTTATCCTTCATTTTGCTAATGTGGTGTGTCATAGTAACTGATTTGCAGATGTCGAACTATCCTTGCATCCCTGAAATAAATTCCACTTGATCGTGGTGTATGATCTTTTCAATGTACTGTTAAATTCAGTTTGCAAATATTTTGTTGTGGATTTTTGCATCTATGTCCATCAGGGATATTAGCCTGTAATTTTCTTTTCTTGTGGGGTCCTTGTTTGGTTTTGGTATCAAGATAATGCTGGCCTCATAAAATGAGTTTGGAAGCATCCTTCCTCTTCAATTTTTTGAAAGAGTTTGAGAAGGATTAATTCTTTGAATATTTAGTAGAATTCACCAGTGAGGACATCTGGTATTGGACTTTTGCTTTTTATGTGGTGGGGGAGGGGGGTTGATTATGCTTCAATATCCTTCTGACAATTGGTCTGTTCAGATTTTCTATTTCATTATGATTCAGTCTTGATAGGTTGTACGATTCTAGGAATGTATCCATTTCTTCTAGGTTGTCCAACTTATCAGCATATATTGTTCATTTTAACCTATAGTTTGTACTAAATGGTGCAAGTCAAAAACTTAATGCATGGTAAAGGAGACATAATCTGTACAGTTATGATTCAGTGAGTAATAACAGTGGATCATTTATGAAGCAAATCAAAGACATCAATCTGATTTTTTTTTCTGCACCATTTATTGGACACATATTTTGTTCCTAGCACCATACTTGGACTTAAAGTGCAAAGATGAATGAGGAAGGGTTCCTAATTGTGAGAAACTTATCATCTATGGGAGAAACAGACATGAAAACAAATAAATCTAACATGGGTACTAAAACCTACATGGAAGTTGAGAATAAAATGCTAAGGAGACATAACATTAAATGGTTTTATATCACTTAGTGATATAATCATCCATGCAAATTATCACTTTCTTGCTATAAGACACAAAGCAAGACTATCCTAGATTATTACCAGTGAGTGAGACACAAACTTCTGTGTAACTTATTTCCCAAATATCAAATATCCAAACAAATTACATGCCAATTGGTTGGGAGGTGTTAACTAATTTAAAGCCCACACTAAATACACAAAGTTCCCCTAAATACCCATATGAAGGTTTGATTGGCCAGGCGTCCAGGAGTTTCAAGCTGTGATGACAAAGGCATAGACTCAGGGAAGGTAAGGAAAGAACCCCAATTAAGGAAAGAGAGTTTCTTGCATGGCTAATGAAAGAGATGATTACAGCAGCCAGATTGTAGGGATTTGCCAGGTTGGTAAAATTATGGTGGTAGTGTGGTGGTGACCAATGTTTAAGAAATTAAAGACGCTTCTAATTTCAAATATTTTAAATCATTTCCCCCAGAAGTATACGAATATGTGCCAAACCTACATATTCTGATTTGGAGTTCGCAAAATATAGAAAAAAGATGGCATTTCAATGTAGAATATGATGCTCAAGGGGAGGTAATGGTCAAGGCTCAACTGGGCTTGTGGCTGGGAGAAAGTAGCCACGGAATGCCAGGTTCAGGCCGAGATTAGAAAAGGCAGCACCTATTTGCAGCCAATTAAGCTGACCATGCTCTTTTCCCCACAGGGCCTGATGTGTAATGGCGGCAAACAGCAGCCTCCTCAGGAGTGTATGAAATCTGTTGCCTCTGTGGTTGCCCTAGGGGAACTTGGAGACAGCCCTTTCCAAAGGACATTCGTGGGGGGCATGCTGTCCCCACTCTAGGCTCCAGGCAGGTATGCGTGGTGTCTTTGGAGAGTCCCAGTACACAGTGGCCAGGGTCCACAATGGCCGAGTCATAATGTCCGTCCACACCAAGCTGCAGAACAAGGAGCATGTAATTGATGCCCTATGCAGGGCAAAGTTCAAGTTCCCTGGCCACCAGTAGATCCACATCTCCAAGAAGTGAGGATTTACTAAGTTCAATGCAGGTGAATTTGAAAACATGGTGGCAGAAAAGCAGTATCAGCCTGCATGTCTGTGGTGTCAGATATATCCCTAATTATGGCCCCCTGGACAAATGGTGGGCCCTGCGCTCGGAGCCTTGGCACTGTCCCCTCCTTACTTATGTCTACCAATAATCCAACTTTTCTATCCAAAAAAAGAAAGCAAAGGTGATACCTAGTTGAGGCAGCAACAGATGATCCTCCCAAGTTTCCAACAAACCAGCCAAGGAAAGCCAGAGCCCAAAGGGTGTCTGTCTTCAGGCACCTGGTACGGGACAGTCTAGGATACTTCTTTTGAGAAGTGTGCTTGCCAGTGACCTCTATGTTAATTGGTCATGCTGCATATGGTGGGAATTTTCTAAGAGAAATTTCCCAGGGGCACAGTCCCCAAACCCCTAAATACAAGATCAAAATGAATAATCCAAGACGACTGCAAGGGCTACTCAATTTAAGAGAGAATTTAGGACTGGGGGGCCAGCATGGGCAAGATCAGCAGGGAAGGAGCTGCGGATAGCACAGCGTATAAGTCTCCTGGGCCATTCTTCGTGGTCCCTGAGAGCTCCCCTTGACCTTTGCTTAGCACATATGGCTTCCCACCCTTGAAAGTCATCTCGTGTACACCTTACTCCCCCAACCAGACTGTAAGCAGGAACGATGTCATTTTCCTTCTCGGATTGCTTAGCATAGAAAGGTACCATGGTAGAGATGAAAGAAGGGTGTGGAATTCAGCTCTGGAAATACCACTTTTTAGGTATGCAGAATGGCACAGTGGTTGAGACTACAGTTTATGAAGCCAGCCCGCCTGGGTTCAAATCCTGCATCCTCTTAGCTCTCTGAGCTTGGGCAAGGTGTTAGTCATCTTGCACCTAAATTCTCACATTGTCAACTGAGTGTAACGATCATGCCTCCTCCCAAAGCTCTGGGAATTAAAGGAACATAAATACTTGCACGTACATGCTTTGGTAGGTCGTACTATTATTTTCCAAAGCCTAATGGACAGTGCATGTTCATCTGCTTTGCTCAGCTTCAGTTTTCTCATCTGAAAAATGAAGGCATAACATCCAGTCTCACGGGATTGGAGATGAATCAGCTAATGGAAGTCAAAAAGCATGTTGAATGGAAAATGCGATCCAAATGCTCGTGTTTGCTGTTATCATCGTGCTCAGTGGGCACTGGAATCAATGACTGCCAAACAAAGCAGCACAGGGAGGGCAGGCCAGACCCCCTCAAGACTCACCATCCCAAGCTCTTACACAGGAAAGTTATTCGTAAACATGAACGCCAGACAAGTGTTCCTTGTTAGCTATGCGTAGGGCCTGGAGACCAGCACTGCCACGTGGTGAGATGAAGTGAAGTGACGGGCTCTGCCAAGTGAGGCTCTGAAGCCATCCTTCACATGCGCCTGAGGAATTACTCCCCCAGAGTAATTTCTGTGCTGTGCTGTGCACGGGCCCCATCTTGGCCACCTCCCCAAAGACCCCCAGCCCCATTTCAACAGTCCTCCGGGCTGTGCCCAGTCCCCATTGGCGTGGAAGTGCAGAGCTCAGCACATCATGCATTTCATCCCCCTGGTTTCACCCCAATGCACTGGTTCTGCCTGACTGTCCCACACAGCATCTCTCGGAGAGTCAGAGAGGAATGTACTGAACTCACCAGCGCCCGGGGCAGGACCAAAGCCAGCATGGCCTGTCATCCAAAGGAATTTAGTGCTCCCGTCGTCACCATGATACAGACACAGAGCAGGCCCCGGGAAGAGCCCGCACTTCCCCGGAGCCAGGGAGCTGGCCAGAAAACCACGTGGGCAAATGGGTTCTCCTGCAAAAGCAGGGCCACAAAACCTGAGCCCTGGGAAACTCCTTCCAAACGGACACCTGACAGGTGAGAGGGAAGAGGGTGAGTATCTGCCCCTGAAGCTCTTGGCTCTATCTGGGTTTTGTATAAATAGTGCAGAAAAGGAGCCTGGCATGTGGAAAGCTTGGTTATTAATAAGCCCACAAGTTTCACCCAGTTCACAGTAAAACTTGATTCCTTTTCCTAAGATGTGAGGCTACGTCATCCAATTATCCCCAGACTCTAGGCAGACTGAGGCCGTGAGTCTACCACTGTGCTCACTGCACACCCCGGGGCCAGCATTCCCAAAGCCCTCCTGCTGGTGCCTGGATCACCGTAGCCAAATGCTACAGGTGTCCTCAGACACTAAGTCTGTTGAGATGAACAGCGTTCACAGCGCTGCAGTCTCACAATCATTTAAAAACACTGATTCACTCACTTCCAACATGGCGTGTTGTAATCGTTTTTATTTTATTTTAATAATTGTTTGTTTGTTTGTTTTCGTTTTCTTGGGGGAGGGTAACTAGGTTTATTTATTCATTTATTTTTAATGGCAGCACTGGGGATTGAACCCAGGACCTCATGCGTACTAAGCATGCACTCTACCACTGAGCTACAGCCTCCCCCTAGCCTTTCTTAACTTTTCATAAGCAAGCTGTGGTCCTTAATTCACATCATTCATAGTCATTCATCCACTCACTCAGTCAACAAGCATGTACGGAGTGCCTACTGTGTGCCAGGCATTATGCTTGGAACAGGAGCTAGAGTAGTGATCAAAACCAGAGATGACTCCTGTCCTTGTGGTCCAGTACATTCATTCTCAACAGAGGTGATATTGCCCCCAGGGAGGGAAACTGGTTCCTGAGTAGTGAAGAAAACCTTAATCATTTCATGTATAAATCATAGACATGCATATAGTGCATGAAATATACACAGTTGTATGTATGCATGCGTGTATATATATACATACATACACATACAGTTGTATTAGCTTCCTATTGCTGCTGTAACAAATTTCCATATTACCATTTTACCAAATTACCAAAAAGCTTAAGATAACACAGTCTGTTATCTTCCACTCCTGGGAGTCAGAAGTCTTAAATGGGTCTCACTGGGCTGAGATCAAGGTGTCGGCAGGGCTGCATTCATTCCGCAGGATCCAGAGGAGAATCTGTTTTCTTGCATTTTCCAGTTTCAAGAGCCACATTCCTTGGCTCGTTGCCCCTTCCATCTTCAAAGCCAGCAGTGGCGCTCAGGTCTTCCTTAACCACATCTCCCTCACGCTGACTGTCTGCCTCACTCTTTCACTTAGAAAAATCCTTGTGATTACATTGGGCCCACCAGGATAACCCAGAATAATCTACCCAACTCAAGGTCATCTGATCATTAACCTTAATTTCTTCAGCAGCTGCAATTCCCCCTTCCCACGCGATATGATTTATTCACCAGTTCCAGGTTATAGGATGTGGATGTCTTGGGGGAGAGGCACTCTTCTGCCCACCACAACAGTACATCTGTAGCATTAAAATGTCATGGGGGTAGGGTAAGCAGATCACAGCCAAAGGGCTCTTTAAAAGGGCAATAATGAAACTAAGGTTGAGAAATCTTTGTCTAGTAAGAAGGAATGTAGTGTCTTGATTAAACCTTGATATCTTGGGGCAAGAATGCATGGGTTTAAATTCCATCTCTGTGTGGCTGTAAGCAAGTTACTTAAGCCCTCAGGAAAGGACACAATTCTTCGGTTTCTGTGAGGATTAAATATGTTAATGCATGGACAGGACTTAGAAATTGCCAATTATACAGTAAGTGCTTGACAAGTGTTTCCGTTAGTGTTAGGAGAGATACCAAGATTACTGAAATAATCACAGAAATCAGTGTATAAGTTCAAATGATGATAAACGCTGAAAAGGAAAAGAATGTTCTTGCCATGTTTTAAGAGGATAAACAAGGGGTTCTCACTGTGGGTAGAAGGGTAGGGAAGTTTCCTGAGGAAGTGACCTCTGAACAGAAACTGGAACAATGGGTAGGCATTAAATAGGCAAAGATCATGGGGTGGGGGGAGGGCGGACATTGGGAAGATGTTTCCAAGCAGAGAGAACAGCCTAAGGATGTCCTTGGGGCAGGAGGGACATGGTACAAGCTCATGAGACTGACAGCTCAGTATGGCCGCCCCACAGAAAGCGAGGCTACGCGGACGGATGCCAGACCAGGCTGGAGAGCCAGATGGCACCAGATTTAAGGGCTTGGACCGCATTAAGGATTTTTACCATTATCCTAAGAGCAATAAGAGGTCACAGATGTTTATGAAGGAGAGAGGGCAGTGCAAGTGAAACTTTCAGGAGTGATTGGGTAGGGGCAAGAGTGGATGCAAAGCGACTAAACAGGAGATGCAGAAATGGGACCAGGACAGGGGAGGAGATGGAGAAAAAGGAGATACTTCAAAGGTAAAGTCAACAGGACTCATGGAGCGCAGCAGGAAGGAGTGAGCTATAGATGCGTATACCTCGTGTCCAGTACCCATGCGCATCCATCAAGCCTGTGGGCATTCTGTCCAGAGAAAAAGCCTGCCGAAACGTCTGATCGGTTCTGCCCAGATGTGCGGTGACTTCTGTAGCACTCTGCACACCATTCCGTACGCTGGGTATAAAATAAACTTTAAATTGGATGCAGCTTTAACAAAAAGTGGTGCTGGCAACAGCTCTTCTTTTAAGACCTCTGTTTATGTAGACTGTTTTAAGCATGACGTTTTAATTTCAAATTTTTTTAAATATGTATTTTGTGAGAAATAAACAGAGATGACTAAACTGGAAATTGAACCAGGGTCTCCTGGCCCTTGGCCCACATTTCTACCCAGGGACCAACTGTCTGATGAAGGATAAATCCATCTCCCCAAGCTGCTATATGA